AAAAGTCTTGCATCCTGGAGCAGGCAGACCTTTTTTAGCCAGAATACATGTCTCCTGGGGTCTGAAAGCTCTGAATGGCGGGAAAACACCTGCTGCTGGGGTGGCCAGTTTCTTCCCCATTCCCCCCATGCAAAGGGATTTGCTTCCTTAAGCTGTGATTGTACTGCAGCTTGCAGCGCAAAAATACATTTTGGGAAAAAAACACTTTCAGGTCCTGATCTGTTTGGGATGGTGATTCAACAGGCTGCTGTCCTGTTATCAGACCACAGAGCATGGTTTAAGTACTGAATCAGCTGGGTCCAATGGGAAAATCAGTGTCAATTAAAGGAATGAATGGGCTTGTATGGAGGAAGCAAAGCATTCACTGACCCCACCACAGCTGTGAGTGACAAGGGCATATATCATTCAGGGTGAGATATGCACCCTCTTATACAGACCAGCCAAATTCAGGCAAGGCCTGTAGGACTAAACACCACTCCACAGCAGAGATCCTTCCCCACAGCAAGGCTTTGTCCATGGCTCTCAGCTCCTCTTTGCTTTGCTGTCAGTGTTGTCACATCTCCCCACTTGCCAGGGCCATTGCTCTATGCAGGGTCCTCCCCATTTCAGACCCTGGGCATCTCCTGGTCCATCAGCTGTTGTCTGTGTTGAGGTATTACACACTATAAGTGGTATGGCCACCACTGTGGTAGGTCCCATGCAGACATACAAAAATGTGCTTTCTCCCCTGGATGATCAGCCCCAATGGCAAAAGAGCCAGCTCCACAGGGAGACAGGAGATGAGAGCAGTCTGGTGCATGATTAATTTATATCCTTAAAAGTCTGAAATGCTCCCAAAGACATTAGTATTCTCCATGTAAGAAAGCTGTCCAGATTTTCAACATATCCCTGCCTTATTCCCACATCTACTGGAATTAATAGCTGAAGGTTTGTAAAGCCCAAAAGGCAAACACAGGACTGCATTTAATCTAATACAGAGGCTGAGATCATAGTTTGGGAGTTTAAGTGTTGTCAGAAGCAGAGACAGCCCAAATTCTCATTTATACTAAGACACTTTTATAATATCCTGAAAGCATAAATGCATCTCAGAATGAGAGCGGTGCCAGCACCAACAGCCTCTTTGCAGCATGGAAACATTGGTATGAAGGACCCTTCAGAGAAATGAAGACAAGTGAAAATGAAAATCCCATTCTTTACATCTAACCCCAGTAGAGGTGACACAGCCCAAGAGCTTTCTAAGGTAAATTAGACTCCAGACAGTTCACTCTGTGTGTGTGTGTGTGGTGGGGCATGTGTGTAGACCTGTGCAAAAGGATGTTGTGGATGCTCTGGAAGGAGGATGAAGGATCCACCCAAGTGTTTTAAAAGCAAGCATAAGTCCACGCTTGTTTTTTCACACTGCTTAGTAGTCCAGCTGTCGCACCCAGAAATAACTCCATTTCTCTATTGAAGAGGTTGCTAAGTTGGTGAGAGATCCCTTGGGATGAATAAGTGCCACCACAAGTAAGTGCTGGTGTAACACGGACCAGTGTGTGGGAGATTCCCCTGTGCCAGCCCTGGCTGAGCCCAACGCTGCTCCTGGTGCCCAGCTCATCCCCCTGCACTGCCCTCGGCCGGGGCACGTGTTACAAAGCACCAAAATAGGAAAGCACTTCCTAGAGACTGCATGAGATACTCCACAGCCAGCTCTTTTTCTTCAAACTCTGAAGAAAATGTGCTGAATAGGCTGACGGAGCCATCGCATATCATGATGGAACCAGCACGGAAAAAACACATGCAGTTTTTTAGATTTGTTAGATGACAGTCTCTCTCTCTAGTAGCACATTTCACTGAGACTTATCAAATCCCTCACCCCACCCTACAGATGTGCAGAACTTAGTAGCTAAAAAAGAGGAGGTGGAGACCCAGAATTTTGTTTAAAATTAAACTCTTGGAGCCACACTTGTTTTAAAAATCAGGCAAGCAAAGTAATGCCTGGCCTCGGTCCTGTTGTTTGCTAACTGACTTGTAGCTCAGGATACACATGGAGATCCATATACTTCCAGTTGCTGCTCTCTTTAATTGACAGTAATGCTTCTAAAGCTCCCTTTTTTAAAAAAAATTGCCTGAGGCGGATGGTAAGTGTAGGGCTTCAAGGACTGTTATACCTTCTTATTAGGGGATTTATCTTCCAGGTAAAAGAAACACAATTATTTCCTGGTGCAGTTCAAATCAGTTGGCACAAGATCTAAAAGAATGCCTAACTCCAAGGTGTCAGAAAGGATCAAGGGATCAACAAAGACACAACTTTGATTCAAACGTGCAATAGGAAGTCCCCAGTTTAAAGAAAGAACTAGGAGACCTGCTGCAAAATGACATAATTTAATAGGCTAATAGATTGTTAGATAGTTTATCAATTAACATAATTTCAAACTGGAGAGAATAGCCCAGTGGTTTCCTTATTATTGTTGTTGTTGTTATAAATGTTTATTATTTAATTTATTTAAAATCCACTGATCTGTAATATACACTGTCTTTCGACTAAACTGCCACACTCTGTTGCCTTTGCTTTGAAGAGGAGTGTGAAGAAGGCAGGGCATCTGGGAAGGGGGAATCCCAAATGTGCCTGTTAGCAGGATGCTGTCGTATTTCCTTCCTATAACTTGTCAGTGGGATTTCGAAGGACTCTGGGTATTCAAAAACCATGATGAGTCTTATATCTCATCATCTAGAAACATTCTGACTTTGACTGAATATCTCACTTAATAATTAATAGAGGCCTAAAAAGTGATGGAAAAAAGATGTATATGACCACGTCATATCGTTGGTGTTGGCGCACGCATGTGAGTGGAGGGTGTCTCGTGTGGCATCTCCCTGTGGCTGGGCACCCTGGTCTGTGGCCAGGGAGGACAGGGCTGCGGGCAGGACGGGGGACATGGGAGGGAGTGGGAAGCAAGCTGCACCCATGTGGATGGGCTGAGGGGCCTCCACACAGCTCAGTAGCAGTATGCTCTATAATTCTTCTTCTAAAGTGAAGAAGAGTTATTATCTCTGTAACTTGTAAAGTGTTGGTAGGAGTGGCTGTGGAAGCTAACCAGCCTGAGCTCTTAAACTTGCTGAGCTGGGCAGGAGAGGAGCACAGCAGCACAGGCTGTAAACAAATGCCTAGGGCTTGTAAGGACTATAAAAACCCATGGACAATACCTGCCATATAAACTGTGTATCCAGACAAGTATGTATTTGCAAAATCCACGTTCCACCACACAAATGCATGTGTTCTTAAACATGCATAGAAGAAAACAAAAAAACCTGAACTAATGCCATTCATAAAAATATGCATTTTTATATATAAATAGCCACACAAAAAGGCTAGTTGTGGTACTGCAAGCAGAAACATGAACACCATGCCCCAGACCCTCTTGTGAAATAAATTTTGTCTTCAGTTTCAGTTTAATAGCTCAAGATCTTTCTGCCAGACATATGAACGGCTTTGGGAGGTAAGGCACGGGAAGGAAAATGAAGATGTGATCAACCTAGGAAATGGTTCTTGGGAAACCTTCCAGCATTGTGAGCAAGTGAACACAGGAGCACATTAGCACGGCGCACTGTCTGATGCATGTTCCAGTGGCTGGTTCACGGGACACACGCTTTGTTTCACTGAGAAACAGACATTTGTGGGATGAGAGAAAGCAAATGGATATAACAGATTCAACCTTTAAAGTTTTTAGCAGAGACTCATGAAATTGTACCAAAGAACAAATGGATACTTGTGGACATACCAAGAGCCGTCAAGACCTGAAATGGATTGATGGACCACAGTCATAGCTAATTGACAGTGACAAGTGTTGCTTTGCACTCTCTGGACTGGAAATGACGTCTTGAGAAATTAAACTGAGGCCAGCACTCTCAGAATCATCATTTTTCAGTTGTTCCAGTAATCCCTTTCAAAAATATTGCTGCATGCTCTATTATGTGTCTGAACTAGAAGCAAACAGACAAAAGCATTGATTAAATGTGTGAACAATATTAAACTCACAGACACTGAGTGCACTGAAAAGTGCAAAGGAATCGTACAAAAAGAAGTAGGGAGGCTAGAAAAATGGATTGGGAGCTGCAATGAGATTTCAACATGAACAAAGAAAAGCTATTGTATCAAAGATGAAATGTAGAGTTGGAAGTTGTAAGGACAGAAACTCGTAAAGATGTAGGCTTGAGAATAAAAGGGTGAAAGGTAATATCAGGGCTATGTAAACAGAGGCATTTTACCATCATACACAGATGTGACAAATTACACTGCTCTTTATATAGCACCAGTAAGAATGCATCTAATGTTAACTCCAAATCACAAGCACTTTGGTGTCAGAAAGAAGGGGAGTGATGCTTTTGGAAAGTGAATTGGGAGTGTGATTGGGGAAGCATTGCTCAGGAAAAGAGTCTGCTTGCAGTGACTGCAATTACAAAGTAACACTAGCAGGGATAGAAATCCCCATCAAACGGAGATATGGTATTACCTCTGAGATATATCACAGGGCAAGGCCAGAGTATTGGGAAGCTCTGGCAAAAAAAAGTGGTATTTCAGGGGCCAATCAGGCTGCAAGGATCACTATAGTGGAAAGGCCTTGTCCACTGGGATCAGGAACTAATACAGGTAGGCTAATAAATGTAAACCACTGTTTACAATGAAGGTTAGTTGGCACAGAAGGACAGAAAAATCAAGGGAAAGGAAGATCCATTGTTCCTTTTACTGAGAGGCGTGAGGCTAAAAAGAACCTGAAAAGGAGACACTTGTGGTTGCATGAAGGGTCTGGGCTGGAAACAATGACCATATGGCATAATGTGCAGCTGAGATCTGATACAAAACCACCAGAGTCAAGTCAGTCTTTCCACTGCTTCCAGGAAACCTTGAAGTCATCAGGACTGCGTTGCCCTAGTTTATATACCGGTCAGTCCTTGAGGTCATTCTGCTTGCCCTAACATTGCTCTAGAAAGCCCGATTTTCAAGAAGAGCCGGTGCTCCTCACCTTACCACCTTGGTGCCATTCCTCATGACCTGCATGTCCACCATGCAGCCGCCCGTGACGTAAGCAGCCAGGTTCAGCTCGGAGAACTCAGCCTGGAGCGGAGCAAAAGGACAGAGAGTTACTCGAGGACAGCAGAGACACAAACACATGGACACAGACACAGAATTGTCTTCAGCTGGAATGTGCATTTCCTTCTTTTTCTTTTTCCCCCCTTTTTTTTTTTTCTGTGAGGCAATGGGAGATCCAATTACAGCTGATTTGCCCTGGAGAGACTGCAGAAGTATTTACGGCTCCCACACTTGGGGTGTACAAGTACACAGGATTAGGCTTATTGCAGTAATAAGTACTAAAGGAATTAAGACTGAGAAAGCTGAAAAACACATACAGGAAAGAATAATAATAATAAAAAAGTAATAGAAAGAGGTAAGATCGTTTGAATTCATATTCCAAGTTTCCACTTGGAAACATAAATTTAGAATTATGTCCGAGTCAGCTGTTGTGCCACTGGCCAGCTATAAACCTAATACAAAAGATTTAAACCTACCTAAATAGCTAAAAAGCCTCATTATGCTGCAGGAAGGTGATAAGCAGAGAAACTCACCTGATGCTGTTTACTTATTAAGGTTTTAACTGTTAAAGGGTTACAAAGCTAGGTAGGCTATTAACAGTAGGGCTCAATTATTAACACTTCATCTTTTAAAAAAGAGGTGCGACTTACAAGGCTGGAAAGGTTGGCGAGGAACATTTAAGGTATAGGGAGCAAAAGGCAATGTTGATGGGGGTGATTACGACTGCAGTGGGTGTCAGTGAAGGTTAAGACACAAATCAGAGCAATTAACTGAGCAAGAGACGTGATAATCCTCCTGCCTGGCCGCTGGCTCTGCTGCCCCTCAGGCAGGAGTGCCATCAAGTCCTGGTGGTCTCAGGCCACTCTCAGTAGGAGGAGGATGGCAGGATTAGCTGATCAGTGCTCTACTTGGGCTCCAAATCATAACTCTGTCCTTTATGAGCAAATGAGTAGACCCCAGACTAGAATAGCCTATTATAGTGCCATGCCAGTCCTCCCTTTCCAGCAGGATGCAAACATACCTGTACAGATTCAGAATCCTATATTAAATTAGTGCCTGTGTATATAAATAATCAGGTTTCAGTTTTTGGGACAGAAATTTTAGTCTTCTCCCTTTGAACATCTTTTTTTCCCCCTTCCTGTTAACGCATTTCTTTCAGACTTAGTATGGTGGAGACTGAGAAGCAGTAAAATCACCTTCTAATCAGTGGCTACCTAATATCAGAGCACTCAGATGGTGTTGCTAATGCTTGTGAATTTATTTATATTCTTGTAGTATTTAATGTTCTTCTGATACTTCTACTAGCTGGAACCAAAAGATAGTGCCAGGAACAACTTTTATACAGAAAAAAAAAAAAAAAGCAAGCAAAAAAGCATGTTTTGTCCCCATGAACGCATGGAAAAAACTTGTCAATGGAGAACTAGTGCACCTGTAAAGGCTCAGAGGCCAGACAACAAATGAAAAAATCACTTCCAACTTTCTTTTTTTAAAATACACATAATTTTAAAGCGATGACTGTGGACTGGTGACCCGATGATGTAATTAGATTTCATGTTTGCGGCCCTGTGTAAACTTTTCAAAGCAACACCCTTACATGATCTTACATCATTGTAACTCCCAATTACAATGAAAGGAGGAGGACAATTTCTGTTGCCGAGAAACAAATCCTACTTCAAATACACACATAGGGAATGGCAGTGGTTCAGGTGACTGCCTGGGGCTTTTCTTATGAGATTGCACAGTGGTGCCTTGGCCACAGCCATGCTTCTTCAGTGATTGTATTGGATCAGAGATAAGAAACTATGTACCTCTAAAAGGCACCTACATTTTATACATTTAAAAGCTCAATAGATGTAGGGAGAGGGGTATCCACCTTGAACAAATTCAGCAAGAGGAGATGCTCTGGGTACTGTCAGAGAGCTCCCCAGCACATCAAGGCAAGTAGGACACAGCATACCTCCTTGTTAGCTTACATGGTGAGGCCATAGACTTGGGAGATGAAAGGATGGTTTTCCCACCTCTGTGCCTGCGTGTGCCTCAGAGATGTCCCACGCTGAAAGCAGAGTGTTACTGAGCTGGACCTTCAGCTTCTGCAGCTGAGAGATGCATCATCTCATGTGAGATCCAGAGCAAGAGAGGGAAATTTTAGGTCTGTATTTTCATATTTTTTATGCTTTTCTTCCATAATTTTTTCCTGTAATGGTTTTGTACTAAAGAGCTTAACACTTTGTTTTGCTGGGGGTGAAAATGGGCAATCTTCATGTGATCGCTGGCACTTACGATCTAAGTCAGTCTGACAGGCGTTGGTCCCAGGCAGTGAGACCGAACAAAGCTGTGTTCAGACACCTGACGTCCTAGCAAGCCTGGGAATCCCCCGAGCTGGTAAGTACTTCATCCCAAACTGCCAGGACCAATTTCAGGCCTGCTAATGTCAAGAGCCAGAAGAAAGGGAGAAATCCCCTTTGGCAACCATTGTGCAGGGCACCATGGCAAGGAGGGAGGAGCGGAGAGAGGGTCTGCAGGACTCAGCTACTTCTCCCCAAAACATCCAGATATGCAATTACAGCTGAGGGACAATCCTAATCTTTTCCTGGCATTCATTCCTTCTTTAACGGACTAAGTCAAGGACCACTGCTGCTGCTTTCATGTAGCTGCTTTGTCCCATCTGACAGGCTGCTGCTAGCTGGCGTTTGGAGGAAGGCTGAAAACTTCAGTCAGCAGAAATTGTTTCCTGTTGATTTTCCAGTGCTCCCTGTATTTTTAACTTTGTGGGTTTTGTAGCTTGATGACTTCCCTTGGCTGGGATTTCAAGTCTGAGATCATCTCCAGCCTGAGTTTACCTTGCAGACAAAGAGGTCTTTGAAAGCAGCCCATGCAGATAGAGTGACAGGTAACTATGCATAAAACAGGAGAGCCCAGCTCCCCGTGGCCTTGCAGAGTCATTTGCATTAGGACTCATCAAATAGAAGGCAACATTACATTAGCCTGATGGTGTTTTATACTCGCTTTACAATGGTGCCAGTGGCTGCAAAAACATTTAGGCCAAGAGTGAACCGTGTATGACAAACGTGACACAATCTGTCTTGAAGAATAACGTAATACAGACTGTGGGAGTAGAAATATTTTGTACCTCTGTGAGGCCCAGATTTGGGAGGATGCCCACAGATATTTTGAGGATAGTTCTGTTAAAAATGAACATTTCAGGTATTCAGACTCAGAAATCTCTTCAGATCATATGGACTAAATGTTAAGCTACTCTCAGCTTCTCCCATCAGTGTTCTCTAGGTGCTGGAGAACTTTTTGGTGAGCTACTTTAGAGTGTCTGTTTGCTGATAATAAAACAAGGAGGATTTTGTCATTTTAAATCATGCGATAGTAGAAATGCCTGGCTTGGTAGCCATACCTTGTAGTGCTTCATGGGAGTCACATGTTCAAGGTGGATTTTAAGCATTTTTCATAGAATAACAGAAAGTTGGGTTGGAAGGACTTCAAGACGTCACATAGTCTGTCTCTCTTTCCTAAGGCAGGACCAGCTCTACCTCTGCCATCGTGTGCAGATACTACATAACCTTCTTGTATCTTTCATAGATGAGGAACCTCCTCAGGCAATCTGTACCTTAACAACCTCGGAAAGTTTTCCCAATGTCCAACCTAAATCTCTCACCTTACTTTTTAAGACTGTAATATTTTGTCCATTACTTCCTCCTGCAGAATGTGAAGACTTACTGCTTGAAGACTTACTCTTCCTTCTTCCTTTTTTCCCCTAGGCAAAACCAACCCCATTCTTGTAAGATTTTCTCATAGGTGATGTTTTTCAGCACAGTGATCAATATGTCGTTGCTGTCACTGGGATCCTCTCTGACAGGTCCACAACTTTTTTGAGTTGTAATAGCCCAAACTCACCATGATCCTGACCATTGTTGAGTAATACAAAAGGCCTTACATATAATACTGCTGTCCATATGTTCCAGTATGGATTTGTCATATATGCAGCAACGTGACTATTTTTTAACTCATATTCTGGCTGAGATCTGCTGTAATCCTTGCATTGCTTTGTCCAGGCTACCAACTTGTCTTCAGTTCCCCATCTTGTGCATCTGCCATTGATGATTGATGCATAAGGGGGAGATTTGTCAAAGTCTATGAAAACCTGATGGGAGGTAGTAAAGAAGATGGAGCCATACTCTTCTGAGTGGTGCCCAGGGAAAGAACAAGGGGCAACAGGCACAAAATTAAATATACTAAATTAAATTAAACACAAGAAAACACCCTTTTTATTGTAATGAGTGTCAAACACTGGAACAGGTTGCCAGAGTGGCTGTGGAGTCTCCATCCCTGGAGATAATAAAACCTTTATTGTCCATGGTCTTGGGCAGCCTGCTGTAGCTGAACTTGCTCAGAGCAGGATATTGGATTATGAGATATCCAGATGTGCCTTCCAGCCTCAACTGTTGTGATAAGTTTAGTATCTGACAGTTGTCCTTATTAAACTCCTCCCTGGATGTTAAGGTGGAATCCAAGGAAAGCATCTCAGTTTGCTCCTTGAGAAGATGCTGCGGGTCAGTTCATCTTCATTGTGGCACAGGAATGCAGGAATAGGGACGCAGACAGGTTTTGGGATTTGTATTTTGGGAGCATGATGGCTGATTTTTTTTTTTTTTTTTTAAAGCAAGCAGGCTTAGTGTGTCCATACAGTGACAAGCACATTGGGTTTTTTTGAGCTACGGAACTTTCTAAGCCCTCATCTGTACATAACCTAATTAAAAGCTACTCAGGCTGGTTGTTGGTTAAAAGAGAGAGGCAAAGTTATATTAGTCTTTTGTGTGAATGTTTGCATACATACCCCCCATTTGCATATATACCGCACATACACATAAATAGCAGAGAGGGGGTTTTAGCACTGCCAGGGAACCTTTGCACTTTCCTCAGCTGTAACACATATGCTGGCATTTTGGAGGGTTATTCCATCACATAAATCACAGCACCAAGCTACCACTACAGTATGCAGCTTTCCATAAGCAATG